AGTTGGTTTTTTGGTACCAAATCCATGTACCAAATCCTTGAAGCAAACGACCTTAGAGTTGGGTGTATTGAATGCACCCAAAAAAGTGAGTGCACCAAAGTAGCCATATATATATATATATGGTTCAGGCTAGCGTACATTGTACTGTTAGAGAGTGGTATACGATCCAACATAAACTTCTCCCAACAACTCGAGTTATTGAGACTAACTGGTTTATGACATGGTATCAGAGCTGGTTTGACCAAGTGGTCGTGGGTTCGAATCTCCACGACCCCTAATATTAACAGTTGATTAAAGCACATGGTATGGTGGGCCTATGCAAACTTCAAGCCAATGGGTTGACATCCGTTTGAGGGGCGTGTTAGAGAGTGATATAAGATGTCCGTCGAGTTTTACTATTGGACACTTTTTTATTATTTTTTTATTTTTTTATTTTAATAATTTTAGATGAAAACAATAATAGTAAAAATTCAATATCAGATGTCACATCGACGCTGACTGAATTTTCTATAAAATATTGACGGTCAAACTCGGTCAACATTAACAGAAAAATAATTCAGACATAAATATAATATTAAATAGGTCAGAACACAAATGACATCATTTTATAATTCGAATTTACTAATGGTATTTGCAAATAAATTTGTTGTTCAAAAAGAAAAACGTGAGACCTGCCCGAGCCTAACTAAAACATATTAAATAACATCAACTAGCTTGGCTAGTTGGTGGAGAATTGGAATTGATCAGTGAAACCAACTAGCTAGAAGCCTACAAAAGGAAACACTAAAGAAACGAGAACCTTAATCATGAGGTCCTTGGATATCCTATAAATCAAATGCAGAGGCTAAAATACATGACTAATGATCCACATTTCACATATTAATTTCTGCGAAAATAAAGTTTCTCTTAACTTAGAATACACATTAAACACAGCTGTGGATAATCATCGCCTATCATTCAACATAATACTGAAAGATGAGGATTGAGGACCATTGGAGTGGGATCCATTTGTCTATATCCTCTCAATCTATAGAAGATATTGTCTTAGTTGATCGGTGTATGTTCTTGATAACTTTACATATTTGTTTATGAAAAAAATTTCTCCAGTACAAAGTTAAATTATAATGCAAACCTTATACTCTTTGCTCACTATATGTTATCCATAATTTTTTTGAATGTGTACAAAACGGGTCAACCTTATTGATCCGAATTCAACCAATCAGCTTAGAAAGTTACAGGATAGGGTACATAATCTTTGGTTATACATTCTTCCTAACTAAATTTGGACATTTGGATTTGAGTGGACCCAGAAAATTCAGATATAAGGGATGAGATTTAAAAACTTTTTATTTTTTCTAGTTTTCTGAGTCGGCTCTTGTCTTCATATTTTTATAATGGCTCTTATCTTCTTCATTCTAACTTGAATTTCAATTATTATTTTTTTGCACAGATGGAACAAGTTCGTTGTGATCTACAAATTGATTCATTTTTAATATATTTCGACAAACAAAATTTCATACCACTCATTACCACCTTGGTACCACTCATTACCACCTTCGTTTTTAACTCGAATTCTGAAATTTTTGCACAGATGGAACACAATCTTCTTGATCTATTGGATCCACAAATTTATTGGGGGGAATATAGGATTATAAAGTACCACCCTGGTATATGGGTGGTAACTAGTGGTACACAATGATGAATGCGGTAAATGAAAGTTCGTATATTCCTACTATCATGTATTTCAACCATCATATATATATCTAAACTCTAACCCTAAATATCTAAACTCTAAATCCTTCAAATTAAAGTAAATCTTCAATGGTTTTTGTGCAAATTCAAGTGCGTTATTGTTCATCACATCATAAGTGATGAATGACATCATTTTGACATAAATCGCATGTTTAAAATGATGGTTATGAAGTGAGTGCACTGAATGCACCAAAAAAAGTGAGTGCACCGAAGACGCCACCATATATATATATATATGAGGAGTTCTACGGTACCCAGGGTGAAATCCGAGGTACTGCATAACTTGAGTAAGAAAATGCTATCCAGAACTTGAATTGAGTGATGTTTCGGACATGATACTGTACTCTTACCCTTAAAGATCAAAATCTAGGTCTTATTTCTCTAAATCTTATACCCCAAAATCAATTTAATTAGAAACAATAATCGACGGTTATGATTCGTCCAAATATAGATAAAAAAATCAATGCACCATCTTAGGGTTTATAGTTTATGATTTAGATAATTAGGACCTAGGGTTCACTCATTAAGGGTTAGGGTATAGTATCATGCCCAAACATCCTGCTAATTCGAGGTCTAGATAGTGTTTTCATAATCAAGGTATGTGGTACCTCGGATTTTACCCGTGGTACCGTAGAAGGCACCATAAATATATATGGCAAAGGCTAGCGTACGCCCGAGCGTACCTTAGTCTACCGTACGCCCGTTGAGTTTTACTATTTAGATCATGAATTAACCGGAGTTTTTGGCATGATACTATACCCTAACCTATAATGGATAAACCCCAGTCCCTAATTTTCTAACCCAACTCATGAGATTCATTTAATCTTAAAAATTAAATCAACAATAATTTTGACAAATCAAGACCGTTGATTTTCATTTCAAGATTAAATGAATATTATGCTTTGGATTAGTGAATTAGGGACTAGGGTTTATCCATTAGAGGTTAGGGTATGATCTCATGTTCCCTCCAAAAAAAAGTATGATCTTATGTAGTACCAAGCAGTACCGGCATGGTATAGACTAGTACTAAATGTCAATTTTTTTTCTCAAAAATATATCAAAGTGGATATCATTTTGAAGAACACAATGAATCTTATTTATCAGTGCAAAAAAATTTAAATTCCAACTTAAAACGAGTGAAAAATCGTATGTTAAAAACAAAAAAGAAAAAGATTAATTTTTTTTCCATAATAGATGCTATATGGCAAATTATGGTTTGAATTATACCTCATTATTAACCACAAAGTTATGCACTTAATTGCTCCAGCAATCAATTGCTTAATCGGGTCATCCACACAAATTCAATATTTTCATAACATCAAATTATAAAATGCAGTTCAATTAAATTTATCCAAAGCTGCACACAACCAGACAATACTGTACATGTAATGGACTTAAACCTACCTACCCTACTATTCATCCAGCCCACTACTACTACTACTCTTATCTCATGGTATGGGCTTGAATTTGATAGCACCACCATAACATACTTTTAGAAAGTCCATCATTAAGAACCTTCACCTGCACCCATCACCATCAGCCTCTTCCTCACCAACAAATAACAACAACAAAAAGCAAAGCACCCAACAGGACAGGTATGGGTGTGCTCTTCTTGTAAATGAGATATAATGACACATATCAACAATGATAAAACCCACACACAGAAATCTCACATGAACATCAACATCATCTCTATACCTTTTTTATTTTGTTTTTGTTTTTTTTTTCATACTGGCAAAATTATCAAACCGGTTTAAATTGTTAGGCTGATGAAACAAATAGTTTGAGATTCATTGACATATTGGGGGTTTGACGAGTTTAAGCCATTTTGTAGCTAATATAGTAATATATGTGTATATATGGTAATAACTTAAGATTTTTTAATAATCTGAATGTAATTACGTCAGTATTATATAATAATTGATATTATATAAGAATTTAATAATTAATATATTCTGACCCTCATGTTGCGTATATTTGCTTTGCTTCCCAGAATACGATTTGAGAGATGACAAAAATATATCAATCTATCAAAGAGGCTAAAACTAGGTAGGTTTCTTGAGATTTTCACGAGTATATAGTTATTTTTTTTCCGTTTTTACCATTTTAAAAGGGTTATAGGTATAATATGCTCCTTTCTCTACTATGTCATTTTATCAAACATGCCCCTCTACTATTTTTACATCAATTATCAAACATGTCCCTATACTTTGGAAAAATAATCAAATGTGCACTTTTGTTAAAATTTCCATTGAAAAAATCGTCAATCATGGTTGAATCGAGATTTAGACGACCCGACATCGGCATATGGGAGGGAAAATGTCAGTTTTATCCCCTATTTTATTTATCTGGGTCTCGTAAAAGTGAAATTATTAGAATTATTTGGCTATACAAAAGAACAAAAAAATTCAAAAAGTGAAATTATTAGGGATATTTTAGACATTTGTGTCACCCTAACCAAAGTTTGGCCGTGGTTAACGGTTTTGGATGAAAATTTTAACAAAAGGACATGTTTGATGTAAGAAATAGTAGAATGACATGTTTGATAAAATGACATAGTAGACAAGCAAATTATACCTATAACCCTTTTAAAATTTTTGACCGTCTACCAATTTGAAGGCAAAAACTATTTTCTGGAGCCGTTTCTAGCACCAACTCCGGTCTAACCCGGTCCAACCAACCGGCCCGACTACCGCTTGACAAATACTGCATACTGAGCCAGCAAAAGGTAATGGAAAAGTCACACAAAGATCGGTTCCAAAAAGAAAAAGAAAGAAAAAAAAAACACGAGACCTGCGAGAACCCAACTGAAACCATATTAAATAACATCAACTAGCTTGGTTGGGTGGAGAATTGGAATTGTGATCAACGAAAACTCAACTAGCTAGAAGCCTCCAAAAGAACGAACACCAATAAAGAAAGGAGAACCTGATTGATGAGGTCGTCGGATATCCTATTAATCAAATACATGGCTGATGATCCACATTCTCCATATTTGATATTTCTGCAAAAAAGTATTAGAGTTTCTCTTAACTTAGAATACACATTTAACAGAGCTCATCATCACATCACCTTACCTATCATTCAACATAATACTGAAAGTTTGAGCACCATTGTTGGCGTGGGACCCAAGTCTAGATAGCGACAAAAGGTCCCATCCCATCCATCCATCCATCCAAACACATGAAAGAATATATTCCCTGCTTCACCAGATGATGTTGCTACTAATGGTTGGCCGACTGGCTGCCTGTTTATTTATTCATAAAAATCGTAATCGTGTAATTAAACGATGGGTTCGTTGGGATATTGAAGGCGACATTTCTTCCTCATGTCTCTCAACCTCTTTTTAAGCTCTCTAAGCACAGTTTTCCTCTCATGTTCTTCTCCAGCCCACGAACAGCAACAAATTAGCTCAAAGGTTGGTTTACTTTTTCTTCTTTTTCACTGCACACAGAGTCGCAGACATATATTTGATGCAGAGGTGGGGAATGGATGTCTGTCTGTTTGTTTCTCGAGAAACGGGGTGAAGAAAAAAAAGGGAAATTTCCCTCTGTCCGGATTTTAGCTTCCCAACGTTCTTTCCCTCCTGCTCTGTTTTTTTTTTTTTGGTTTTGTTTTGCATGAACGTGTCTCGATTTTGCCCAGCTTTTCGTCGGCTTATCCTGTGGAGAATCTGTTTTTGGTAGAGCAGTGGGAATCCTTTTTGTGTGGTAGCTTGGCATGTGTCCCCTGCCTTCCCTCAATGCATGCCTGATTTTCATGGCTGACATTTTCATTTTATCCCCTGCTGCCGTTATGGTGATTGCCTGAAAGCTGTTAATTAGTTTCTTCGTCTCAGTGAAGAAGATGGAGGAGGGTGGTGGTGGTGGGGTGAAGAAGGAGAAGTCAATCGAGAGAGTGGTGTCGCAGAAGGCGCTGCAAATGGGGAGTTCATTCCCATGTCAAATCTGTGTGGTGGGTTTTCTCTGTGGAGTCTGCCTTACCTCTCTCTTCCTCGCTGCTCTTACCTCTTTCGGCAGTTTTGGTTTTGGCAATGGCGGCTCTGCAACTTCTTTCTCAGCACTTGCTGCTTCCACCGCCAATTCCACTTCTAACTTCATCGGTATGTCCCATCATCAACTCTTATGTCCAACAAAAAAAAGAAGAAAGAAGAAAGAACAGAGTCCTTGGAGTTATTCGGGTTGTGGGTTCGAATCTTACAAATTCCAAGCATAGTTAGTTACAAATTCTGCTTTAATGTACAAGTTGGATTGCATTTAGGGGGTGGAGAAAGTGGTACTAGGAGAAATGGAATCGTTCTGTTGTAAATTGCAGGGTGGTGGAGGGGAAGCAAAGCAAAGTCAGGAAAGTGCAAAAGCAGAGTTTTTTCTTTTTTTACTTGTCAAGTACATTTGCTAGTGAGATCATGGCCTTCAATTGATTGCCTTTTGACTGAAAATTTCTCACTAAGGCTTCAAATGATGTTGAAGTTTCAGATCATTGATTTTGGTATCAGCTAGAATGGATCTCTATTGAATCCTAATCTTCTAAGGATTGACTGTTTGGTGGTTGCATTTTCATTTTATTTCTCGGACTAGAAAGGTCACACTCTTTGAATTGCACGGAATTGCAGATATGGTTACAACAACAACAGCTAGCACTTGTACAACAAACTGCAAAGTTCAGGAGAAGGGGGCAGAGAGATTCGCTGCCGATTCACAGGAAAGCGGAACAGAGAGATACAATGAGAGAGTGTCTCAGCTGTATTCAGCCTGGAGCTCGTTGTTAAGTGAACGACAAGATGGACATTATTACAGCGAGCCATCGAGAAGAACGAGTACCGAGGTCAGCAAAAAATCCACTGTAGTACCAAATGCACCACACCTCGAGGACTGCAAGTCAACTGCTAGAGTGAACCGTCGACTCGATCATCGTGCTGAGAATGCGAGTTACCCTCCATGGACGACTTGGAAGGGTCGGCTGGATAGTTACCCCAATGCGGACCAGAGCAGCAGGTTGAGGCGCGACCAGTCCATTTCTGAAGGTGCTTACCCTCCTTGGGTACGTTAACAACTAACTCTAGTGTTGCTATAATACGGTTCGGTCGATAAGAGGGCATGTACCAGGTTATAAATGAAATGGCAGAGTTTGAAAATGCCAAATAGAGTTTTGGATTAGAGAAGAAACATTAGTCAGTTCACAGTTGTTGAGTTCTGCTTGCTCTCTGCAGATAAGTGGATCAGATGAAGAGAACTACCCTCTAACACGAAGAGTGCAACGAGACATATGGGCACATCAGCATCCACCAAACTGCAGGGACGACCCTGAAGTCAAATTCCTCGTGGCCGATTTCGAGAGGCTCCCAGGGTTTGGGATCGGAGCTCAGTTTGCTGGAATGTGTGGACTTCTAGCCATTGCAATTACAGAGAAAAGGGTCCTCGTGACAAACTACTATAACCGCGCAGATCATGATGGTTGCAAAGGTAGATACGAGAAACCGGTCCCTGCTCATGGCTTTGAAGCAATTAGAAGTAGAAGACTTGATCATGGTTCTGTGTTTTTTTTTTTTTTCAGGTTCTTTTCGCGGCAGCTGGTCTTGCTACTTCTTTCCTGAAACGTCTCAGGAGTGCAGAGACAGGGCGTTTGAGGTTATGGGAGATAGAGAAGCTTGGGAGAGAGGGATCATAACTAGTAAAGACAACTATACATCAAAGGAGATTTGGGCTGGTAGAACTCCAAGGCATGTTAGTTTGGAACACTAACTACTTTTGCACTTTGCTAAGCTTTCGATTTGTTTTGGAATTTGGGTTTCTCGCATCTTCAGTCGTTTGATCACGATCTCGATGACTGTACTGGTTTATAAGCACCCAAGCTGGGTTGTTCGTTACAATATGATATGGTGATATTGGTTAATGGTTAAGTTTACATTTTTTTTTTACTTCTTAAACACACAGGGTATGGGGTGAGCCTTGGAGTTATTTACAGCCAACAACTGAGATCAATGGCAGTTTGGTTGCTTTCCATCGCAAAATGGACCGTCGATGGTGGAGAGCACAGGTAAGTATCCATAATTCATACTTAGTGGTAGTCTGGCAATCAAGGGATCTATCAGGTGGTTCTGAAAATACATGGTTTCTGAGGAATTCATCATTTCTCTTGTGTTGTTTGTTAAAATGTGATTCGAAAAACTATGTATTTTCAGAATATATCATATGCTTGATGAGATTCCAACAGTGCACTTACCCTTTTTACAACACTTTTTGCAGGCAATCCGTTACTTGATGAGATTTCAGACAGAGTACACTTGTGAATTGATGAACTCTGCCCGCCACGCCGCATTTGGAGAGGAAGCTGCAAAGATGGTCGTCAGCAGCCTTGGAGAAGACTGGGACAAGGTCGGAGCCAGCTGGAGGACTTTCCTAAATTGAAATTTTATCAAATCAAACCATCCTCTTGGTTGACATTGTATCTAAAACAGCAGAGAAAGGAGTTGTTCTGATTTTCTTTTTACAACAGGAAGCCGAGGGAAACAGCAGGAAAATGGGAGAGATAGAAGAGTACGTGTGGTCGAATCACAAGCCATGGATTCCCAGGCCACTTCTGAGCATGCACGTCAGAATGGGAGACAAAGCCTGCGAGATGAAGTTGGTCGAATTCGAAGGCTACGTTCGCTTAGCCGACAGGATTAGGCAGCGCTTCCCACATCTCGATCGCGTCTGGCTTTCGACGGAGATGGAGGTAAGGAATTGCTTTACCCTTATGTTGTCAAGCAGGATGGTGACTAGTACTTACTGGGAGACCAATGTAGCCGGTTTTTCAAATTGGATGGGGTTTTTTTCGAGCTTATGAGTCGAAATGGTTCTTTTTTTTTTTGTTGCTGAAGGACGTGATCGAGAAGACGAAGCAGTACAAGAAATGGAAGTTCTACTACACGAACGTGACGAGGCAGGTTGGGAACATAACGATGGCTAGGTACGAGGCAAGCTTAGGGAGGCAGACGAGCACAAACTACCCGCTGGTGAATTTCTTGATGGCCACGGAATCCGATTTCTTCGTGGGAGCTCTGGGTTCGACGTGGTGTTTTCTGATCGATGGGATGAGGAACACAGGCGGGAAAGTTATGGCCGGATACTTGAGCGTGAACAAAGACCGGTTTTGGTAATGTATTGGAACGATCCTAATCCCACTGAGGTGCACTCTGGTTTACTTACAGAGGTGGATGTAGATATCTAAATGCAACTTCACGTATAAAACACAAGAGTATATACATGTAATTTTTGGTGTCTTGGTGAGTCAGAGACAAGAGATTTGTGTGTGGTGTTAGTTTGTACTGTATGTAGGTGTACATCAAGAACAATTAGTTTGTGTAAGGCACTCTCGTCTGCTCGACGAACGATAGCACGAGACATTAATGTTAAAATGTCTAGGATTTTACGGTTTGGACCGCAATGTTGTAGCTTTGGTTCTAAAAGTATTTTGCACAAAAAGTGCTTCTTTTTACTTTTGATATCCAGATTTTAAGACCATACTGGATCAAGTTTGGATCGGTTTTGCTTGCAAGAAAAGGAAGAAAAAACATTACAAACTAATGCATTTATTCTTCAATTCGTACCGAACTCCAAAAATCAGTCAAAACAGTTCCCGAATTCAGACCCACAAAGGACACATTTTCAGTTGTTCCGGTTTAGTAGGGTTTACCGAACTACATGCCACTCCTAAAGTGTTAGCACCATAACACTTTTAAGTGTTGTTATACTATCTGTTGCCAATGACAAGTGAAAAAACGAGTAAGACAGAAGAGTCCAGCAAAAAAGCAAGCAGCGGAGTTAGAGAGACGGCGGACGCCGAGGCGAGGGAAACCCCCAACCAGAAAATCTGCTGCTTGTTTGTTAACTTGATAATCAAGAACTTGAGTACAATTGGATTAATGCACAAACAACAAATGAAGGAACCAAACCAAAGAACAAACTACTAGGCTGAGACAGAGGGAGAATGGGAGATGGAGATATAAAGACAGATGAAACAAGAGGATCAGGATCTCCATCCTATACACCCTCTGCAAATTTTCACATCACATAACAAATACAGCATGTGGGAAGTTTCATAACCAACCCATCAAAAGAGTAAACTCAACCTAACCAACCAATATATTCTTCATAAATCAATCCCCTGGCGATTCACAAGAAGCTGCATTGTCAAACCCGTCCGGAAATTATGTCATGCCTCAGAAGAAAAGAGCCTTGCCTCACCCGCCCTTTTCTGCAGGCACGCTGAAGGGCCAAACACTTGAGGAATGCTTCTCGGCATCATTAATCTTCAGCATTTCCACTGTGATTATGTGCCCCAACACTATCCCCTCCTCCTCCGCCCCCGGTTCTTGCTGCCTGCTGGTGTTGCTTCCTATGATGTTTCTTGGTCCTGGCTTTCCTAGCTTTCATCCGCCGCTTCTTCTCATTGGCATCAACCCACTTGTAATCTGATGGTATATGGAAGGGGTCAACCTCATCCTTGTACCGATGGCTGTCACTATCACTCGACTGACCTCCTCGACTTCCACCTTTCATCCATGAAGATATCCATGATGTAGTTGTAGACCCAGCATCTGATGAGAATTCCCTGGACTTTGAATCCTGGAAATGTGTTGGGCTGGAGAGAGGCGTTGAGAATTCCTCCACAGGAATTAGCTCCTCAAACTTCGTGAATGTCACAATCACCCTTATGGTGGGAACAATAGGTATAGCTACCTACAGTTGCAAACAATAGATAATAAGTCATAATCTTGGATTGTGAGCATCCACTCCCCAATGGGTTAGTACAAGGAGGCCAAGGTTCAACAGCTGTATCATCTAGCTTTTCCAACCAACAAAACTCGAGCTTAGTTTCCTGCTACTACAAGCAGCAGCAACTATGAAACACTAGGCAGCACATTTCATTCAATAACTGATGGGATTGATAATCACATGAAACTTCTCAGAGTTATCGGATCCTTCTCAAAGAGTGGGGTTACACATCCGCCATACAGTTTGTAATTCACTTACATTTCTCATGGAAAAGCATGCAAAAACGCTTGCAAGCTATGTCCATATCTAGGCACCTAAGCCTTGTGTTGGATTTGAAACAGGCACACAAGGAAACACTCTACACTTAACCAGATAATTCATTCTTGAAGTTTCGATTGATGGGGAATAGTAACAAAACCAGTATCACTCTTTTTGCAAACACTAGTTAGCACAATATCCCTGTGGCCGGAATGTAGTAGAAATAAAGCTACCCAAAAATAGACGGCCAAGTTCAAACTTGGAGTCCTCAAGTTTCCTTAGCTGCAACAACAATAGTCCTTTGAAAGGCTTGCAGGTTGGAATTGGTTGCCACAAAGTACTTTCACAGAAACTGCTTATAACCACAAGATTCATCTAGAAGAAATGATACCTGAATATTGTCATCCAGATGGAATGAATTATCATCTACAGTAGGGTCTAAGAAATTTCAAAAGCATGTTACATCCGGTGTTCAAAGGAAAAGGTGCAAACTCAGTAAGCAGGTTCCCATGTCATCAGAGGTGGAACCAGATATTAGTATACGACTAATTAGCGTGTAATTCACCGTTAAATTTTCTGAAGGTATGGATAACTAGATGAACAAGCTAATTCAGCAGGAAAAATTTCCCATCCCTAAGTTAGATAACTAGACCACCAAGCTGTCACTTCAAAAGATGCCAAACAAGTCTGCCCAAAAAAAATGAAAAGAAGGCAACTAGCCTAAATATTTCAAATGATCATTGGGAAACAAAAATGGGTAACAGTTTCCAATACTTTATTTTGGAAATCAACAAAAGACACCAACCAACTGAACCAGAAATGAGGCCTTTCCGAAAGACCAAATCAGACAGGCAAATGAAAGATATTTCGCATTTAACCAAAGAAGCTTGTTTCCAGCGACAAGCCAGCAGACTGCAGATTAGCAAGCAAACGAATATCACAATGCATGGTTCACATCTTGACTCACTTTCACCAGCAGAATGTAAAAATAAGGGGATGGCAAACAAGAGCATTACCAGTAAATGAGATTTATTATAAAGTCTGTTCATCTTTCACTTTTGGCAACAGAAGAACTTAAATCAGCAACTGTAAGATTTGAACAAAGAATTATAACACAGTAAGATATTTCAGTTTACCTTGACAGGAAATGTTCCACAAGGAAGTTTAGTAGTCAAAAGCTCCCTGAGTCTCCTAATAGCTTTAACCTTGTTAGCCAATATGTCAAGCAATGGCAGGAGCTCATCCGTTTGCAAGGGGAAATCAGGCGTTAGCCACAATACAGGACGCAAACCCTTTTTGTACTCGCTTTCATTCTTAGACTCGCTACTCGGCCCTTTCTTCGTTTTCTTCTTGCCACTTTTATCCTTTCCCTTGCTTGTATCTCCTGTACCATCTTCCCAACCAGATTCAGATGATGAATTTTGGTGATCAACAGATTTCTGATTGCCACCATCCGGCCTCAACTTCGAATACTTTTTCCCCATTTTTGGATCTTCAGAGTCATCGTTATTGTGTTTACCACCTTTATTCTTCCAGCCAAACCAACTCTTTTTCTCCTTAGTCGTACCATTTGATTCACCATTTTGATATGGTCCTACCGAACCATTTTCTTGGTACTCAACCACCCCACCAGCTTCCTCCTCCCGTAAACCATCAGAATTCCCCGCGCAAAGTGCAGAGTCTAACTGTTTTCTCTCTTCAGGTGTCAGTACATCATCAAAATTGTCCTGATCCCCTCCATTTGCCAATCTTTCTTCATCATCTACAGAGAAAAGTTCCTCGTCTGTCATAGCACCTGGAACTCGCCTCGACTTCACACTTACCATCACATTAAGCATATCATAAACCTTGGCCTTCCAATTCCCCACCATCTCAGTTCTTTCCTGACGTCTCCAATTCAAATGAGGAACTAGCTCTGCCTGTGTCACATCAATCCCCGGCCTATACATATTGGTTTCCGACATGAGAGCAACTTCATGGGCAACTTCTGCTTCAGTCGGTTGTGCACCTGCTCCTTCCAACGCATTAGTAATCTCTTTCTCCTTGTGTGCAAGAACAATCAGAGAACCTGGTAGTAAAGACATTCCACCAGCATCCTCTGCAGAATAACCCTCTCCCAAGAAAAGAAAAGTCTGGTCTGATCTTTGAATCCGGAACCCATCAAACCCAGCAAGCGTCATGTCAGCTCGAAGATTAGCGCCCCGTTTCCAAATACGATAAGTATCTGATGGGGCGATACGGCCGATAAATGGAATGACAGAACTCTCGAAATGAAACGTAATCTCCATATAGAAGTCACGGATACGAGCTGCTGAAGCGACAATACGAGGGAGCCTACGGCACCATTTTGCCCAGGCGAGCGGCTGATAGTGACGAGCAATTATCATAGCAATTGCTTCCTCCCTTGTGCAGACTGCTTCTTGAAGGGCACTCCAGCCATTCTCATTCTGAAGACTCCAATCTGCACCTGCTGCCATTAGGATCTCTGCAGAGATTTGGTCCCTCAATTTAACAGCGAGATGTAGAGGAGTCTCACGACCAGGAACATCCCGGCGATCAATGATAGCTGAGAGAGCATCAGCTTCTCTTTCAGCAGCAACTGACTGTTGTTCATTAGTAACTTCGCCAGCCTTGGCAAGTTGTGGGAGGTTAGAGATAATGCTTTGAAGGCCAGCATAATCACGGCGTGCGACTGCCAAGTGAGCAGGACTGTGAGAATACTTGGACAAGTCTTCCATCATAAGAAACTATGTCCTTCAATTTCACTCTATATATCCCTCTAGCCTACAAATTCAGTTCCATGTCAGGGGATTCTTTACTCACTCTCGCAATGTATACCCTTCTGGAAAATTAGGGTTTATCTGAATCAGTATCCTCCTACAACCAACATGGAAACCCCTAAAATCCAAAATGAAAACAAAAGGAATTCAGAATTGGAGTAAAACCCACTAAGGAAAGCACCAAAAACGTACAAGATTCAACTTTCTCAGCCTCCAAACACTAATTTTACTTCAGCCAACTAACCTTTATCCCCCACTGTCACTGATGCTGTCGTCAAACCACCAACAAAGCGCCAATCTGAGGAGAGAAGTGCAAAAATACTGAGCTCAAAGCACATCGGACCCTAGAAAAGAGATTTCACGTAATTCCCATCGATAATGAGAGAAAAATGTTAAGACAGGCGACCAATTGACCTGGGAAGAGCCCTTGAGGAAAGTTTAAGAAAATGCGGAGAAAAAGAGGGAAAGAAAAGGAGAGGAATATGACGAAGAAGGAAGTAAATCCAGAAGAAGAAACAAGCATTTTGACTGGTACGCGACTCGACCAATCAAGAAACTGCCATCTAACAAACTGAAACATTACAGCATTCGTTCAGGACGGTTTTAGAAAATTGAAGAAAAAACAAAAAAAGGGGGAAGATAGTAACCATTTTCCGAGAAGCAATAATTCCACATCCCATTCGGAAGCACAAAAAATAAAAGAAAAGCAATTACCTTGGTAAGGGGAAACGCCGATCAGCAGCTGCTGCTGCTTCTTCTTCTTGGATGCTCTTGAAAAAGGAGGGGTGGAAGGGCGAGGACGGGGAAGAGAGAAAGCGAAGCAGCGGAGCCTACGACGGAGTTAGGATCTGTTCTCTCTCTCTAAAACACGCGCTCTCTCTGTGTATATATATAATTTTGGTGCAGCAAAAGAAAGGCAGACAGACTGATTAGCCTGATGCTCGGCCTGTGCTGAAATTAATACGGACAGCGGCAACACCGAGTCATGGATGGCCGATGTGACCTAACTCGGGGGCTCTGACTCGCTCCTTCTCCCTTTAAAACTCAGATCTTCCCTTCCTTCTTCACTCTCTCTTTCCTCTTTTACGCTCGCTCCCTCCCTCCCTCTCTCTGCGTGTTTTTTTTATTTTTCTCTTCACTTTCCTTTAACAGTTATCGGCTCATCGCCATCGTTCATTTCATTTGCATTTGCTATGCAAATTTTGCTTTTCTATTTTATTCATTTATTTTTGCTGTTCCTCTCCTTTTCTTTTTTAATTTATTTATATATTATTATTATGCTCCCCTTTTCTGTAGAAATTATTCTCCCTTTCTATTTGGCTATTTGCTTTCTGTTTTGCAATCCGTCTTGAATCTTGATCCTTGAGAGAGAGAGAGAGAGAGAGAGAGAGAGAGAGCAAGCGAGGCGACAGGTATCGAAGTGGGCACTGTTTTTTTGTTCAGGAATTACGGTTGAAGGAGCGTCGTCTTAGTCTTGTTTGGGGATAATTCTATCTAGTCCAGACCAAAATGAGTTGGAAGTAGTGAATTACCTTGGATGACCTGAAATCATATATGTTATTATTAGTAAGTGTGAATTACTTTTTTTTTTTTTTGACAAAAGATAATCTTCATTGATCGAAACTAAAGATAGTTACATCCTGGAAAGCAGCCAGGCCTGAAAATGAAAGAAACGACTCGTAGTCGGGTACAAAAAAAGGGTCTTCCGAGCCACCAAGTGGGCTATCCTATTGCTACGCCGACCTACAAATCTAACACCAAGTGTGAATTACTCATTTTAGAAGCATAAAATATATAGATGCAGGGTTTAAGTAGATTGCATAGTCTTCACCCTTTACCTTTAGTTAGGTCTAGGGTAGATTGCATACTCTTGAGTTGTTGGGTGAGTTTCTTGCCTTAGTTGAAAATTGTACTTGGTCGATTGTTCATATGCCTCTCGGGAAGAGGTCTAGTTCTTCTAAATGGATTTATAAAATGAAATTCAAATCGGATGGGTCTATTGATTGTTATAGATTTATGTCTGGTTGCCAAAGATTATACTCAATTCAGAAGGAGTGGAATATCATGATACCCTTGCTCATGTCGCCAAGTTGGTTATTGTTTGTTGCTTACTCGTCAGCTGCGGATCTAGAGGGGGCGCCCCTGGGCCATGATATTCCTCGGGATTGAAATGACTCGTTCTCCCCGTGGTCTTGTACTTAATCAATGCAAGTATGTTTTGGATATTCTGATTTATGTTGATCTTGAGCCACCCAAGCCTTGTTATCAACATCAGCTTTGTCGCTTGCCCTTCGAACACATACCATCATATACCACCTATATAGGATGGTAACTGGTTGTCGATGGTGGTAAATGGTGGTTAGTATATTCCTACTATTATGTATACAACATTATATATTATGTTATATTCATATACCCCATGATATATTTCTATACTACTATCAAACATTATCATCATGGTATAGACTGGTAACAAATGCCTTATTTTTTTACCAAAATATATAAAAGTAAATGTAATTTTGAAGAACACGATTGATAAAAAATTTGTAGAAAACAAATTGAATTCCGACTTAAAACAAGAAAACCAACCAGGTTCAAATATAAACAACCATGTTACTGACAATATCTTTTTTTTTTACCGTAAACCTGCTAATGTTACCGACAAGATCAACTCCCCTTTATGTATGCAATTTACATGGTTTGAATATAAATAGATGTGATTAAAAAAAAAATCCCTATATTTTTCAACAGACTTATATATTTTTTCTTTTAATCCGAAATTTGAAAAATTTGCACTAATGAAATGGCAATCATTGTGAAAAAATTATATTAATTTTTATAGGTTTTGTGGAAAAAGTTTAACATCACTCATTACCACTCCTTACCGCACATACCACTCTGCATCACCTTTGTTTTTAGCCTAAAATTGAAAATTATTAGATAGAATGAAAGAGTTTATCTTATCTATAGAATTTGTTATATTTCTGGGGGAAAAAAAATCCAAGACCACATATACTATCCTAATATAGTTTGGTAAATGGTGGTAGATGGTGGTGAAAGGTGGTAGCTTCTCCACCGTCTTCATATCAAACGCTTCACTAACCAATAGCTAATAGCTTATGATGCGGCTTCATGTTCTCGCTGAAAGATATTTCAAACTTTTGAAAGTTCACCAATTGGTGAGACTCCTCTTCATATTCTTTAAAAATGTCCTTAAGTGCAAAATAGCCCTACCAAAGAAAATAATATCGTCGATGAAATAACGTGAGAGATAATGAGACTTCCCGGAGCTAGTACCAGGCCATGGAGGCAATTAGCGTGCATCGATGACTTCGTAAATGTCGAGTGATCCTCCACACAAATAAGGAATAAAAGAAGTGATAAAGGATCCTTTTTCGTATGCCACAACCCGGAATAAATCTCGCGGATTGGTGGTCATTCATTAGGACTAAATAGAAAATTGTGCGAGTACACATCATGATCGGCTGAACCCGCCTCTCCGCAAATCCCTTCCGACCCATTATAGCTCCCAGAAAATGTCATTCTACTCGATCATCAGTCTTATCCATATCAATCTTAAAAGCAAAGAAACCAGTTCCTCCCTTATTATTCTTCTTCTTCAACTTATAAAAACATTTAAAGGCTACCTTGATGTATTATGTAGAGTTATAGGTATAATATGCTCCTCTACTATGTCGTTTTATCAAACATGCCCCTCTATTATTTTTTACATCAAACATGCCTCTGTACTTTAGAAAAATGATCAAACATGCCCTTCTGTTAATATTTTCATCCAAAAACAGTCAACCACGGTCGTACCTTGGTTTGGGCGACACAAATGTCTAAAATATCACTGGTAATTTCACTTTATAATTTTTTGGGTTCTTTTATAGAGCCAAATACCTCTTATAATTTCACTGTAACGAGGCCTAGAAAAATAAAATGAGGGACAATACTGACATTTTCCCTCTCATTTGCTGATGTCGGGTCGTCTACATCTCGGTTCAATCGTGGTTAACGATTTTTTTAATGGAAATTTTAACAGAATGGCATGTTTGATCATTTTTCCAAAGTACAAAGGCATGTTTGATGTAAAAAATAGTAAAGGAACATGTTTGATAAAACTACATAGTAAATGGGCATATCAAGTGTCAGCTTGCAAAAGCACCCCCTCTCAAAATCTCTTGTGTTAACCTCCTTGTTACGATGATGTGACATGGGGGATGACGTTTTTGACACTCTTACAGAATAAAAGACTAAGGAAATAAGAAAATATCAATGGAAATAGCAAATAAAGAACGAAAGCTAAATATTTGGGTTCCAATCTTCTTATACATTACACGAAAGAACAAGTGCATATTACTAGGCTAGGAAATCCTAACAATCCCCTATCCTTTTCCTACCGAGTCGGCGACCCTTTCTTCCCTTTCCTAGCCAAAATATGAAACCTCTTCTACAAGGAAACAAATACTAAATCCTAAAAACATACGTACTAGAAAATCTCAATACAACACCAACAAGTAAACGTAAATGATTAATACCAAAAATACCCAAATAATATCCAAATAACCCTAATCTTCTACGAAATGCTACGATAGCCCTATCTCGTAACACTCCCTGCCAAAAGAATGTTTGTTACGAAATACAACATAATTATAGATTTAGCCGAAATGGCTCATCCAACCAAGCCCTAAAAGACACCGTTTGATCTCATCAAACTACAGTGAATAAGTGAGCGAATCACGATTAGCGTAAGTATGATAATGAAGAACCCGACATGACATTCTTGTATCAATCATACCAGTCGGTGGTTTGGCTACATAAACCGTGTAATGTAATGAAATTAATGCTCCTCCCGGACCCGCATTATCAGTCTTTCGAGCCTTGAGACGCAAGTATGTAACTATCGAGTATGTTTTATTGCTTAGTACCGACACCATCAGAAAACACCAATTACGCGTCCGATTATCTATAGATTTAATTTAACATGTAATTTACATGCCTGTTTATCTTACAATCTGCGGCACTTTAAAAAGTTCGTCAAATCTCACGGCCACTCTGAATATTCTGCTTCGACCGTTCAAAGGCCGACCCGACAAGGGAAAAACAATTTACCTAGTACTGTGTGTTCCAGAATAATCAAAACCCTGAAGCTTCCTAGCATGACAACAGTGGAAGCAGGATGATGATGCCGTCATTCATTCATGCATTCAAGTCTCCATTTTGAGAAGGGGGAAAAAACTAAAACAGAATGAGCCATACTGTGATCATCTGTGCGCAGCCAACGAGTAGATCGTATGCAGGACCAGAAATTACTCAGCTCGCTCCTGGTTCGCCTAGTAGCCCTTGTTTCCTCGAATCCTAGCTCTCATGTCAACCTGGGTGGACAACAATTTCAACACATTAGACAAAGTGTGTGCAATGTATGGAGAAGTTTTCACATCAATTGTGCTGTGATTGAGACTCATATGGTGGATATGAGTTGAGGTAAGTGGACTCGATCTTGATAATAATACCCCGCTTCTTTCAATCTTAAAGGATATCAACTCGTATCTTGGATTCAATAATCCGATGTGGTTCACAAGGGAAAAATCTCTTGGATTCGGAGACATGGCACACCACAGATACTTTTACATCACATCCCCATTTATACACCTTGGCGGAAGGCCAATTCTGGCATCGTTTTTTAACTTTTTATTACCTCCTTCCTCAATGCTTGCAGAATTTCATATCCTATCAAATACATTACACATACTGTATGTACATTCACAACAGGTACAAGGATCAAACAGAAAGAAAAGGGTTGCAAAGCCCGATTTCTTTTCACCCCGAAAAAACAATCAATTTCTTCAATTCATAAAAAAAAACAACACAATCAATTCACTTTTTTCAAATTTTGAATCGGTTCAATTAGTAAGGACAAGCGTTGCAGTTGCTTCACAAATACTACCTGTAAATAAGGATCACAAAACCAGATCCATACTACTCAGACAAGAAGGCATTCCTAAGAGGAACAGTACTACTACTACAATACCATGATTCGAATCACAGTTCAAACTACCAACCTGACAGTAGATACAGCAAAAACATCTAAACTAATTGATACGCTTAACTAAAAACCTCAGTAAAAGACCAGGATACAAGATCAATAGTACTTCAACAAGTAAGCAACATTTAGTAACACCGGAACTATTCACTACAACGCCAGAAACTAGAACAAAAGTTTGCACCATTGAACCATATACCACAAAGCAGGATCAGTGTTCTTTTTTCCCTGTCCCTCTTGCAGAAGTCATACTTCATCTCAAACTAGACGGATTATGTGTGGATGCAAATGACTGATATATATTACTTCCACTTCTAAGGATTGACCGCGTGTACATTGTTCAACTCATTAAGATAGCTATGAAATCATAGCCATGCTTCAAGTCTCCAATTTTCTAAGAGCAACGAACGATACAGACAATAATTCCTCAACAGGGAAGCATGGCTGCTGCAGGAACAACCCTAACAAGCTCATAAGGACTAACCAACCACAGGTATAACTTCCTGAACCAATGAAGCAAGAGCTAAGACGGAAACCTACCTCAACCTACATAACCCAGTTAGTAGTAGCTGTTGAAACTATACTAATAAGAATAGTTTGCTCGAACCCAGCTCGGTATTTGGCCATAGCCACGCCATTTATATCGTTTTTCAGCAAGAAACTATACTAATAAGTAGTAATGACACTGAGATCCAAATTGAAATCGAAGATCGAGCTATGAGAAAGAGGATGATAGCAAAACATGCCTGGCCTCGCTTGCAGTTGAAATAGGTTTCCCGAAGTCCGACGCACTCACTGGAGACGGAGGGACTCTTCTCTCCGGCACAATCCCTGATGGAACGATTCTCAACTTTGACACAGTCCGATTCGCTTAGACACTTGACGAGCTCGGTAGCGAGGCCCTTGCAAGACTTCGCCATTCTTTCCTCTTCTTCTTCCTACTACTCCTGAAAACTATATCGAGAACAGAGTCATAAAATGAAAGAAGAGCAGAAGCGATACGAGGGAGGAGATGGAGGAAGAGAGGGATTCGGGTCGAGGGGCGATGCTTACCGATTGAAAATCTAAAACAGAGTGCCGGAATAATTTCCTCTCCGGTGGAAAATTAGGAGGTAAGAGAACTAATCCGCCGACGGAAATTGCCTGACTACTCGGTTGTCGCTTTCCACCTTCTTGGAGCCGACGGTAAGCTCTGATTTTGGGCCTAGTTGAACTTCTGTTAAACTGCAGCACAGTTTTTCTATGGGCCCATAAGAACGCTCTGTTTTGGGCTATGCAATTTTTTTTTTAAAACTTTTGCTTTCTACTACAAGTCTACAACCGCTAGTTTTGAGTTTTGACTCCAGCCTATGGGATTTTGTACATTGCTATTCGTCGCCTTAAAATTCCTTATTCGTCGCCCTAATTAAATTACATTTACTTTAATACCCTTAATTCATTTATTAACACAGCCATTACCAATTAAATTAAATGGCCAACACACTTGTCCTGGACTCGAACAAAAAACATATAAACATACAGCAGCATCACTATCATTGTTCTCCATTATCCTCACTTCTTCACTAAGATTGTAAATTGCAGCAACAACACTCTTAAATTCTAACTTGTCTTTGTACCGTTCTTATGAATCGGCTGCATGGATTCTTTCTTGTTTTTTCTTTTTCCAAATCATCTAATACCCCTCAAAAACTTCCAGCAACATAGAAGAAAACAAAGGACAAAGAGTGGAATCATTTTCTTCTATTGAGAGATCACTTTTACAAGAGATAAGTGAAGCAACAATCAACAAGAGATAAATCGAAAGCCAATTTAAATATGGCAATTGAAAAAAAAAACAATTTTACACGAATCTGGTACGGGAAAGCATGATGGCCAGCCACCTCCGGCGGGGATTAAGTTCGCACAGAGCTCTGCAGGTCGTGAGAGGGATCTCCTGGCTGCGTTCACTAGAGACCGCATTAACTTGTAGTTGTCTTAAGAATCCCAGATCATTCCATCGATCCAAGATTTGGCTACTGAAATCCTTTGTCATTCATGACCGAAAACCCAAAATCTGTCGTCCCCGATGGCTGTAGGCATGGAGGCAACGAGGAAGGAAAGTGGAGGAGGAGGATTGCGGTACAGCGGTGGTCTGAGATGGTGAGCTTTGTTTGTTCGAGGAAGGGGAAGTGGAGGAGAAGAATCATGCCCAACTCTCAGATCGTGCTTCCTGAAATCCGTCGGAAGCAGATCATTGCCTGATTTATCCACCTCTTCTACCCAGATAGAGCGATTGCTCGAGGATGAACAGGAAGGGAGGCGTCAGAGCAGGGGAAGCCGGCTTGCAGAGACGACGGAGTAGGCGACGCTTTCTTCTTCTTCTTCCATTTGAGCGGCGACGAATTTGGATTGGGGTGAGGAAGGGATTAGGGATTTTTTGGTTTGGGTTTAGAATTGAAATCGGGTTGAGGGTAGATATGTCAATTTGTTGCATTTTAGGGCGACGAATAGCGATTCAGGGGATTTTTTTAGAAATAGCACCTTTTAAAAAAATTTACAAAAATAGCACACAGTCGAAACAATTTACACTAATAGCACCCTTTTTTATGGACCGCACCTCTATGGCGCGTTTTAAAATCCTGGCTTAAAACCGCATCTGGGTCAAGCGGTTTTAGGTCTGACCTATAGAAACCGCTTGGCCGAGGTGCGGTTTAGGCATGACCTATCTAAACCGCATCTGCATGGTGCGGTTTTGCCACTCAAACCGCACCCCCAAAGTGCGATTTTGGTCAATTAATTTACGACATGCCATGCAGAACAACAGACGTGGGTCTGCATGGCAGACGAAAACCGCACCTTCATCAGTGATTTTGCCTATAAAAGGCTTCCTGGAAAACCATTTCTCTTCACACCTCTCCTTCTCCCTTTTCAATTTTCTGTTGTAGCTCTATATTTCTTTAGTAGTTTTGCGATTAACGTTAACTCGTAAGTTATTTTGTATTACGTTTTAGTGTTATTTTTTATTTTTGATTTTTATGATATTAACTGAACTACGATTTTTTTGCAGATGGCATTCCAAAAGTTCACGCTAGGCTTACGGTGGAATGGTTACACGGAAGAGACCGGAAAAGGGGTCACCTACGTCGGTGGCAATTTTCAGAAGATAAAGGTCGCTACCAGACCGCTGCTTGAAGACCTCCATCAAATGTGCACTAACGTTACTTGCATGGATGGCACGAGAAGAGTTGATCGTATGGTGTACCGATATCCAAACAGAGAAAGTGGGTCATTGTGGCATGAGGAATATCTCATAACCACTCAGGATGAGGTAGATGCCATGCTCGAATTCTTGAGGTCCAACAATCTTTCCAAAGCCGAGATGTTCGTTTACACCGAGCCGGTCGTAGGCGTTGGAGGTCATTCTGGACACGGTCAAATATCTGGTGTCCATGGTGGAGATGAATTATATGGCGATCATCCCTACCAAAGTTACCATGATCCACATTCCTATTTTCAGTACCAAGAGCAAGGTGAAGGTCATCATCAATCTTTCCCGTCATATGAAAAAGAAGTTCAATCGGACCTCCCCAACCAACCTCAGTACAACTTTCAACCAGGCAGCGGTAGTTTTCACAACTACCATTATGGAGCTGATGAAGGTGCCTTTCATGAGCTGGATCAGATGGAGGATGTCCTGCTAGCACCAGTCAGTGACCCCTCCGATGAAGAAGGAGAGAACAACGCCAGTGCAGACAGCTCCGACCCTCTTGAAGGTGCTGATGATTCAGGACCAGAGTCAGACTCAACTAATGATGATGAGGTGACTCGTGACCGTGTACCAGTCCCCTACTACAATCACATTCCAAACGACAATTGGATGGTCGACAGCGACATGGAGGCGCCAAAGGTCCCAATATGGGGTCCACTCACTGGGTTTATGAAGGGCCAACAATTTGGCTAGAAGAAGGAGGTGCGGCACGCCATTGAGACTGAAGCACTGACTCGGCATTTTGAATGGCACACAACTCATTCCAACACTAAAAGACTCATAGTCAGATGCCGTAATCATCATGAGGGGTGCAATGTTAGGATTCGGGCCATCAACAGCAAGAGACACGGCCACTGGGTCATATCCCGTGCGGTGAACACACACACATGTGTGTCATCCATAACTTCCCAAGGCCATCGATAGTTGAAATCCAGGGTGGTTGTTGCGGCTATCAAGCATCCAATTGAGCAAGATCTGGACCTGAAGGTGAAAGTCATAATCGCTGACATTGCAAGTCGTTATGGTTATACGATTAACTATAAGAAGGCGTGGCATGGAAAGCAGAAAGCTCTGGCCGCCGTCTTTGGCGATTGGGAAGAATCGTATGCATTCCTTCCCAGGTTAATTTTGGCATTGGAGGCGTCTAACCCTGGCACGGTTTTTTCCCCTCGATGCCAAGATGAAGAGATACAACCCCCAGAGCCAGGTAACAAGCGCCATTTCAGACGAAGTTTTTGGGCATTCAAGCCATCTATTCATGGTTTTGGCTTCTGTGTCCCTGTGATCCAAGTGGATGGTACATTCCTTACCGGCAAGTACAAGGGCACTCTCCTGATTGCCAGTGGGGCTGATGCAAACAGACAGGTCTTTCCTTTATCCTTCGCCATTGTTGAGGGAGAGAATGCTGATAGCTATGGATGGTTTTCCGGCAAATTCAAATCCACGTCACCAGGAGGACGAACCTGACAATAAGCTCTAATCGGCACGCCGGCATTAGAGCTGCCATCTTAGATTTAGATCCAGCCTGGAAGTGGTCCCAAAGGTGGTGCATACGACACTTCAAGAGTAACTGGAACCATCATTTCAAGCGGAAGAAGCTTGCTGATAATTTGTGGTGGATTGGTAAGTTCTCTATTAGCCCTTTAATTTTGTCAGCTAACAATATCTTATAATCAGAAGAGTGGTGCACTTGTTAGACTCTTCCTAAAGAGATGCATGCCTAAGGAAATGGGGTTTTAAGCGATTATCATGGTCCTTCCATTTTCTGGGAAAATCGAGGTTTAAGCGATCTTCGGATCCCCCCTTTTTCTGTCAAACAGGCTGTGTTTCTAAAGAGATGTATACCTCTCCTAAGAGTCTAACGAGAGTACCTCCGGGTTGTTCGAATTGTACTAAACTGTCGATAATTGACTAACGTACTATTTTCTGTGTCTTCCTCAGCGGTTGCCTACCAAGAGAAAAAATTTCTGGAGAAGATGCAGAAGCTGCGCGAGTTATGCCCTGAAGGGGCACAGTGGCTGGATGGACACGACCTATCCATGTGGACATTTCATAAAGATGGAGGGACAAGATGGGGTATTGCCACGACGAACTCAGGTGAGAGTATCAACTCTGTCTACAAGGCCGTTCGTGCACTGCCAATCTCTGCCATTGTGGAGATGACTTTTTGGAAAACGAATGCATGGTTCGTCAACCGACTCCACTGGGCAAGGACGAACGAGGCACAGGGAAAGGTCCATGCCTATAAAGTCATGGAAGTAATGGAGAATGACAATCGCAAGAGCAGTCGACATAGTGTAATCGTTATGAATCGGGCAAATGGCGAGTATAGCGTGACGACCGGACATCGGGAGGATGGTAGACGGGGAGGCCACCGCCATGAAGTTTTGGTCAATTTCAGGACCAAAGTTGGTGAGTGCTCATGCCATAAGTATCAGGGGAGAGGGTGGCCTTGTTCTCATGCAATGGCCGTAATTAAAAACAGGAGCAAAGCCCCCGTCACTTCGTTAGTCCATTCTTCAATATCGACTCACTCAAAAAACCTATGGACGCAGTTTCCGTGCATTGCCTGATGAAGCTTATTGGTCGCTGTACGAAGGAAAATTGATCACCCCGCCATTCGGACAAAGGCGTGAACCGGGTCGCCCGAGAAAAAGAGAATTCATAACGAAA